AATAGCCTGAAAAGAAAACAGACTCATAATCGATTAAATGAAGACAAATAATCGATTAGGAGGTTCGGTTTGAACTAATCGATTAATGGATGAGAATTAATCGATTATTGTTCAAAGTAGAGCAGCCCACCGAAAAGCTTATAAATCGATTAAAGTGAAGAAACAAATCGATTAGGAGGTTCTGTCCAAGCAAATCGATTTTCGTAAAAGGAAAAATCGATTAAGTATTATTTGCGCTGGATCTAATCGATTATCATAGAGTAAATAATCGATTAACAAGAAAATAATGCGCAAACACAAAGGGCCCAAGCCAAGTACGATTGGAAGCATTTTGGCTTGTAACTCGTTGTTTCGGACAACGAGAATATGGGAGACGCTCCTCCCTGTTCTCCCTGTTTGTTCAATGAATGAGAGCAAGGGAGAGAAAAGGTGTCCAAAAATTATTTTGTGTGTCAAACGATGTACACGAAAAATATTTAAAGTAAATTTTTCTTACCAAGAAAAAATTGTGTAATCTTAAAAAAATATTCTTGTTAAGAAATTTTGACACACTATTTTGAAACTGACTCGGTAGAAATATTTTTAGACAGAGAAAAAATAATTTTTCAACTGACTCAGAAAATAATAATTTTTATCCCTCAAAAATTAATTTGTTTATGCAGAAGGTCTTGTCATCCTTACAAAAATTCCTAGACTCAATAAAAATAAAAAGTCTTCGGTGTCTTCACTTCACTTCAAAAAATTGCGTAGGGGTGAGCGTGAATTTAAATCGTCGTAACCTTCTTGATACACTTCTTTGCTTTTCTCGATCCGAAAAATAAATTTTCGAATATCGATTGAGTTTAATCATCCTGTTTGTCATTCATAAAAACAAAAAAATATTCCAGAGAAAATAATAAAGGGGTTTGAACTCATGTCCAACAATTTCCCCCTTTTTGATAATGACAAACACAGTTGAGAAAAAGCAAAGTAAGAGTTCAAGAAATACTTCCCTTAATTGATTCCCCCTGCAAGGTTAGAGAAGTGCAGTAAAAAATAATAATAATCAGAGTAATAAGCGGAAAGAAACAATTTTGAAAACCAAGTTTTCTCAACTATCCTTCCTTCCCCCTTTTGGCATTATCAATCGATATCCTTCCCCCTTAATCAATGCCGGGATATTGAAAGATAGTAAAAAAATATTTTGCAAGAGTTTTCTTAAAAAAAAACTTCTAATTGCCACAAAGGGACAATATGTTCTAAAAGAGAACCATATTGCCAAACCAACAAATAAAAGCATATCATCATCCACCAAAAGAGTTATAACAACAATAGCAAATAACAATGTATCATAATAAGTGAAGACAGAAGAGAAAATAATCAAAGAGAGTTCGCCGGACGAGCTCCTCCGCTGAAGCGGGAATGCTCGATACGAGTCATCCTCTCGTTGAGCAAGTGAGAGTATCAAAGATTCTCTTCACCCAAGAAGGTTGTGTGCTTCTTCTCTCGGACGAGTCTTGCGTTGACGAGTGACGCGTTCCGTGGTTCGACTTCCTCCGGCCTGAGATGACTCAGCTTCTGTCTCTCTCTACACTTCATCTGGAATGACCAAATCCAGATTTTGCTCATTTTCCTCGCGGTAGACAATCCGGGTGAACTTGGCTTCCGTGATATAGCAAGTCTTCTTCACCGGTACCTGAGTGTCCCGAGTAAAATCCACTTTGCTACGAGCAAGGATATGCATGATCGGGATGGCAAAACGGAGATGGGAAAAACGAGTACCATCACTCAGTGCAACGACAAAGAAGTGAACCCAATCAAATTTGACATCGTTCAACAGGACGTGAAACAAACGAATATCATCCTTGTTGACAACGCCATGGTTCGAATCACGGGGCAACAAAACATAAGAGAAGATGTATTGTTGAATGCGTTGAATCAAAGTGAGGTTGATGACACTCGGGTTGCTAGAGTTTCTAAATTTGAGGTCACGAGAGTCTAACCCGAGTTATCGCCAAATTGCCTCATCTTGGAATGTTTCATCTAAGTTTTCGGTAATTTCACCTCGGCGAAGGCCAAAGAGAGAGGTCAAACCGGCACTATCAATTTCAATGCTTTTGCCGTCAACATAGGAAACGAGAGATGGCGAGTCTCCCTTAGTGGTACGAAGATTTGCATAAAATTGACGTATAAGATTTGGACAAAAGAATTCATACGTCAAGTGAATAAAACGAAGCAACTTTTGCTGAGCAAAAATGGACTTACTCGGGGCATAGGTCGCCGATTTGAAGAGGTCCTTGTCCACAATCTTTGGTGAGACGATTTCCTTCGTGAGAAAGTTGTTGTGGAACCTCTCAACTGATGCTCCCGTCCTGAAGGCAAGCCCGGTTTGAATGTGGAAGTATTTGGTTCCTTCCTTACGCCATGGACGTTCTTCCTCTTGCGCCGCTGCCGCTGTTTCCTGACGCGAGGCGACGTTCTTGGTCCTTGGCATCTTCCCTCTTTGAAATTGATGAAATTTGGTGAAAAGATTGAAGGAATTTGGGAAGAAGAAACTGGGATGAGAAAGCTAGGGTTTCGTCGCGTCTGCGATTCTGAAAAAAAGAAGGCGAGGAAGACGAAGTCAGGACGATTTATTAAACAAAAATCGAATAATAATCGATTAATAGAAGTGCTTTAATCGATTAACAAACACAGTCGAGACTAATCGATTATATATAACATATTAATCGATTAAAGGTGAGGCAAAACCAAAGGAGATTTCGCTGAAGGCTAATAATCGATTAAACAATGACTATTAATCGATTAGTTCAGACAGATGCGCCTAATCGATTTCTCTTTGAGGAGTAATCGATTAAAACAATTTTGACAGAAAAAAAACATCAGATTCAAATCAGTTTGATGCCACAGACCAAGATAACTGAAAGGCCCTGCAAAAAAAAGTTATAGCGCCTCCGACGCTCAAATTAGTAAAATCAATAACAAGAATGAATTAGTTCATAGAGATATCCAAAATGCCAAGTTCGTTCCGAATGTGGAAGAAACTCTCCCTACTAAGGGGTTTCGTGAAAATGTCAGCCAATTGATGTTTCGTTTCAACAAACTCAATTGTGACATCTCCCTTTTGGACGTGATCTCGTATGAAGTGATGCCTAATTTCTATGTGTTTAGTCCTCGAGTGAAGAACGGGGTTCTTCGTTAGACTGATAGCACTCATATTGTCACACCTAATTGGGATGTGATCAAGTATAAGGCCGAAATCCACTAGTTGCTGTTTTAGCCAAAGAATTTGGGCACAACAACTTCCCGCACCGACATATTCCGCTTCGGTGGTGGAAAGTGCAACACTAACCTGTTTCTTACTAAACCACGAGATTAACGAATGACCGAATAAGTGGCAAGTACCGCTGGTACTTTTCCTATCGAGTTTGCAACCTGCAAAATCCGAGTCGGAATAGCCAACAAGATGACATGTCGAACCTTTGGGATACCAAAGACCTACGTTCAACGTGCCCGCGAGATATCGCATTATCCTTTTGATCGCAACCAAGTGCGACTCTTTAGGACATGATTGATACCTAGCGCATATACAAACGGAGTACATGATATCCGGTCTACTCGCGGTAAGATAAAGTAAAGAGCCGATCATACCTCGGTAGCG